TGGGGTGATGGTAGTTTGAAGTCAGAAGTCATCTGCCAGTTAAAAGGCGTTTTCGCCGTATGATTAAACGTTGCCCATTGTGCACCACGTGGAGGTAAGTCTATCGCACATCCCTTATATAGGAATATAAGGTGGCTTCAAGTTAGTGGTAACAAGAAATCTAAATACCAATAGCCTTCCAACAAGTAAGTTCAAAGCTACCATAAGCAATGCACATCCGTATATCGGTAGGAGACAACCTGAGAGCATTGATTATTCCTTTGCAAAATAACTTAAACACCGCAACAGTGAACTTTGCTTAGTCAGATTCCTATTAGAAACGCTAGCCAGATCCTTATTTAAACGCTAATTGTAAATTCATCTCCTTATCCCTCGGTTGCCTCCATAAAAGGTCTGCTCCCGCGTAGCCCCGGTTCTGGATCAAAGCCACTATTGGGGTCAAGTGAAATGAGGGCTAGTTCCATTTCGTCCTACTCATGGTCTCTTTCAAATGCATTTGACTTACTGCACAGAAGCACAGTACACAAGCCGTTGCCCTCTAGGTGATAACGATTTGCAGGCAAACAGAACAACCCTGGCAGAAACCAATGAAACCCCATAATACTTGACCTGTAATATTCTTTTCTTATCCTATAAAATGATTAAATACTCATTTGATTTACTATATTTGTATGTTCTTTCCAAACAATAATGACAGACTTTCATCTTCTATTATTACTCAGCCCATGAATTTTGTTAAAAAACAGCTAAGACCCAACTTTCCTTCCGGTAAAAGCAAAGCAAAAGTTCACGAAAATAATTAATAAATGTGTTCAATTGATGCTATTTCAAAATGATCAGAGCAAACATATGCGCCCGCACACAATTTCACGCCTTCTATTCCCACTCAGTTGTAGCCGGAGGTTTTGCCGTCAAATCATAGAGGACACGAGAAATTCCGGGCACTTCCGAAGCAGCCTTAACCATCTTATCGATGACCTAAAGTGGTGGACAAAGAAAAGGTTAATCTTATCCCCTTATATCTATGAGAAAATTTAAAATGAAAGAAGAGGAGGGCCTTACCGAAAGAGGTATATCAACTCCAGGTCTACACGGCAAACCAGTCATAAAGTCTGAAGTAAGGAAAGGTCTCAGTACCACCGAGCGAAGAATGGATGAGGAGGCCATCATGTTGCCCGGATCCCGATCAAAATGAATTGGGATTAGGACAACGGGCATCTGAGCCACACGGTTAATACAACCCTCCTCCAAAAGGACTGCATTGACACGATAATCGACCTCTCTCAGCGTCTCAATAACTGGTTCACGAAGGTAGGTGACAGTAATTTCAGACACCGAGGTGGTAATACGAGGTCCAAATGCATAAACAACTCTAAAATTCGGAAATGTCAAATAGGTAAGCTAATTTTATGTAAATCTATTCACCAGGCGGCATGCAGTGTATTAGAGAAATATAACGCACCGTGTATACTCCAACCACTCGCTTAGAGATGACTTCTCAAAAGGAACCAAACAAATCACAAACACGCCGTGTTAAAACAAATATGGTAACTAGGAGTTTTGCCAATATGGGAAACCAACTTTAAACACTAAATTAAATAACAAAACTTAATATTAGACACGTCGGCGCCGTAGAGAACCATGCGGTTGTTATTTTTAAGCAAATATAAGCCATGAGGGCGAATTAAAAAATTCTCATACAAATTCCATAATTTAACAAGTGGTCACTTCACCATTCTACATAGGTTTCATTGTTGTCTATACACCGTAAATTCCCTCGTGGTAGAAATATGAAGGCTGTCTCTGGCTCCATGAAAGTATATGCTTTTTCATTTCATCTAAAGACGTAAATCGGGTGCCTTTAAGATGCTCTTGCAGTTTTGGAAGCAAAAAAGTCCGAAGGAGCTAGGTCTGGACTATGAGGAGGATGTGGAAGTATTCATTAACAAAATTTGCTCGATAGGGCCTGACAGATATAGAAAATGCACAAGACTTGACCATGCAGTTTCCTGCACAATTTTGGCGATAATTGTCTTCAACTTCTTAAAATCATCTTCACAATAACACGAAGTGACCATTGTCTTTCTAGAAGGTCGATCTAGCGTATCACTCCTTTTGAATCCCAAAAAATGGTGAGCATGACTTTGCTAACAGATCTCTCAGCTTGGAACTCGACAGGCCCAGATGTTACCTTTAGATGCTGCCACTCTTTTGATTTAAATTTGTTTTCTAGATCAAATTGGTACTTCATCAGCAATTACTCCAATGTTAACTTGTCGATCTTGTTCCACTAGGTTCTCCACAAGAGAGATGTTTCATTGATTTCTTGCTCTGGTGGGTCTCCCTCCTCGTGGGTTGACAAAAAAATGCACTTTTGCTTCTTCAAGGCGTTTAATCCAATCATAAATGACTGCCATACATGGCGCAGTCCCCATAAACCTGTTGTAAAGCTTCTATGAACTGAACGGATTCAAAATTTAGTCTAGCTCAAAATTTTATGCTAGCCCTGACCTTAAAATTTGTAATTTGAAGAGTTGGAAATTGCTAGCTAATTTGAGAAGCAACTTGTCTTGATTCTGACCTTACATAGAATGATCGGACAGGTGGATGTCATTAAGCAACTTGCAAATCTTTATTCCATTTAAAGTTGTGGCATTTGTCTGAGAAATGTTTGACTAATCCTAGCATAAGTCCAGAGAAAAGTAGATTTCAGAAAAATGACCCATGTTAATCAACCAAGAGCTGAGTTAGAAAATAACTAATTTTTTTCTCGATACCACTTGATATAAAGAAAAATGTCCTCTACGGAAAAATGAATGTAATGAAAGGCGACATTTTTAACAACATAAGGAGAAAAGACACTACAGATCTCTGCTCCTCAATGCAAAGCTCTCTTGACTAACCTGTTAATGTTATGGCATATACGAGGGATGATGTGAGCCATGAAGAAGAGAGAATCCCAGTCAGGTGCCTGATCCGAGGAAAGAGCACAAACGTAGCTATATGATCTACAATCTCCCTAACGCAAATAAAATCACAAGTAAAACAGGCAATTTAAAAAAAGAAAATAGTTGATTGAACAAATCTACCTGAACACCAACAGAACGGATGGGCAAAACGTGAGCCGTCAATGCGCCATCAGCAGTTATTTCTCTCAGTCTAATTTGTTCTGATGGGGAGATTGCTTCGTTTATCTTGTTCAGCAAAGCATGCATCTATAATTCAAACAAGAAATGAAATTATAAAAAACCTCTTGATAGACCAACTACTTATAATAATAAGGTAGGATACATTTACCTTCTTAGACATTGACTCATAGCCAGCAATCATTTTGACCAAGCTCGTTGTCTCAGGGAAATCACGTTCACAGTAAGGTTCACTGGCACACAAGATACGAATAGAGAGACCAGGTCCAGGGAAAGGATGACGAGCAACAATCTCCTCTGGGAGATTTAGAAGTCTTCCAAGATTACGAACTTCATCTTTATGGAAATCAGCAAGGGGCTCAATAACACGACCCTGAATAGGAAAATTTAGAATGGCAGGTTTTTAAGCAATGCTGAGTTTCAATGAGGTAGACAACTACTCACTTGTTGAGAAAGTTTTTTAACAAGATTTGAAACGTTATGGTGAGTCTTAATAACATCTGCTTTATTAGTAACCGACAAAGCTGCAGATTCAATCAGGTCCGGTCTCAGCGTGCCTTGACATAGAAGGAACTCATCGGGATTCAGTTTCAGCTGCTTCCAAGTTTCTTCTGCCACACGAATGAAGGTATCCCCAATGATTTGACGCTTTTCCTCGGGACTGACAACGTGCAGGTTTAGAGGACCAATAGGGATATTACGAATCTCCTTGTGGGCAACTACACCCCCTTGTATGGGCGACTTAGAAGAGTTCGAAACGGAGTTAGAATTGTAGTTCTCGTTTCCATCTACTTCCATTGTGTTTGGAGATTCCACCCCTTCTCCTGAAGTACTAGAGCACTGTGAAGATTTTGAAAGGAGACTAGCAGGCGCTAGAGCAGAGGTGTCGACTGCAACCTGGTAGGTGGTCATTCCGGTTTGGAATCGTAAACTAGCATCGACATACCTGACTAAAAGAGAAGTTATGGCAAAAATTAGGTTCATTAAAAAGTTTTCACAACACTTGATCTAGTTGGAAAGGCAGTATCCTGGAGGTATCCATAAACTCACAGTTTACCTACTCTGATAATTATCATCAACCAGTAAATCGTGTAAATAAAAATGAACATTAACCCAGTGACCACTGTCCCACCCGCACATACTGTTAGGGGCAAAAGGGTAGCATTGTGTGGTTTCCCTTATTGGATAACCAGACATAATTAGTGATCCGGTAAGAAAAATGAAACCGACATAGGCACATAAACAACTTGCCAAAAATCTAAAAATCAAAACGCATACTCACCATTAAGACCAAGCTTGTTCAGTGCCTCAACTGTGGACTCTGATTCCTTCTTCCTCATGAATCCGTTGTTAATGTGGATAGCGGTTATTTGTTCGGGTTTAAGGGCTTTGTGTCCGATAGCTGCACATACAGTTGAATCAGTACCTCCGCTAAGCATAAACTACAAACAAGACAAAACCTTGAGATAAAATCAAACACAAAAGCGTAAGAATTACGTCGGTTATTTAAACTAACCAGAACTTTTCTATCACCAGCAGCTTGTTTCATGTTTCTGATACACTCCTCAAGGCGGTCTTCAATTTTAAAGTTGGGCTCAAGTTTGGAGATATCAAACAGAAAGTTTTTAAGAATAACACTTCCGTTGAGTGTCAAATTCACTTCTGGATGAAACTGAACCGCATAAAGATTAAGGGTTGAGTTGGAAATAGCTAACAAAAGAAGATACCTCCATTAGAAACGAAGTGAAGAAAAATAAATATAAAAGAAAGAAAAACATACCAATTATTCCATCACCCTCTTTTCCAATAATCTCATAATTATCAGGCACCTTTACGCAATGGTCACCGTGGGTAAGAAGTACCTTTTCTTCTGACTCTAAACCACTAAATAGAGTTAGTAATTAGATAAGCATACGCACCTAAATAGAGGGTTTTTTGTGTCAAGATTTACAGTAAATTGTCCATCTCTTCGGCCCGTAGCACGTTCAACTTTACCACCAGCTAAGAAATTCATAAGCTGGGAAATAAAATATGGCCATCAAGTACCTGCATGCCATAACAAATTCCTAGTACTGGCAAATCGCCTTTAATGATTTGACTATCAAATGCGGAGATATCATCATCTAAAACTGAACCTGGGCCACCGGATATTATAATAGCCCTAGGGAATAACCAGTCGTAAAAATTATACTTACTTAAAGCCACGATGCTTAATTTCCTTGAGTGGTGTATTCAGGGGCAATATTTCCGATTGTACTTGTAACTCTCGCACACGCCGATCGATAACCTAAAATGGAAAATATATTTTAAAATAGGACCTACCTTGCAATATTGAGCACCAGCATCAAGTATGGCAACTGTGCCGTTCATTACGATTAGCTGCCGACTTAAAATTGCGCGCGCGGACTGACCGGAGTAATTGGCTAATTTCGAGTCGTTTGTAATTATAAACAGTTTTAAATATTTCTTAAATCGGTGTAGTCCAAAGAAAAATTTTAAAGTATATTTCAATAGGAGATATTACCGATTTTATCGAAAACAGATTATGTTTGCCATAATTACTTATCTAATGTTTATAGAAATTCAGAATCAATTTGATAACATATATCCCAAATAATGAATGCTATTTTCAGACCATTGATAAATAACAGTTTTAAAATGAAAAAACCTTTTAAGTTTATTTAATATTTTCTTGTGATAATTAGATTAGTTTCAATTCAATTAGTACATTTTACAACTCTTTACCTCCTTTGACGGGAGTCGAAATCAATTCATTTTTTCAAACTAAAAATGTATCCAGAATATCAATAAATAACCGAATATTGTTTCATTGATGGCCACGTATGAACTGAAAACCTTGAATTGACGACTAATGATTAGCATTTTATGGCTGGCCGCAGTTTTAAGACGGTATGTGTGTGCCACAGTTGTCTCTTTGTGTATGTTAATGATTCATAACGGTCAGATCCAGGTAGATGACTAATTGCTAACCAATACTTGTCACAATTATGGTTTAGATTTTGGAGTCAAATGCATATCTTGTGATACATTAACTTTCACGTCCAGTCGAACTCCGCTGAGTCAAATTTATGTTTTACTATCTTGCTTTCTCTAACTTAGGTAGAAAAAATACTAGAGATCTAACTTTGATTTAAGTAATCATTCAATGAATGCCAAACATCTTGGGTAATACTTTGCTTAGAAAGTTATGCGTGAGTCAAAACATAACTAGATAGGTGATGGTTTTTTGTAACATATAGCTCATAGTTTATTAAAAGTGATGCATATTCGCAGCATGATTTAAGAAAGGCAAAATATCCCTGTGTTTTTACTTTGGAACATTCCTCTTATACCACTATACGAAAATCAAGTGAAATTGAACTTTTGAAGCAGTACTCTTTTAATCAATGATATGGACAAACTGTTCCCATTTCACTCAATCGCTCAAACTCTATAATTTGTGGAGCTAATACGTCCGCCAATAAATAATTGAAGTACACTTTAACTTACGAGATTGGAACATTTTCTAACATTTGACTTGAAGAATCACGAAATCAATGATCCCAACAGTTTTATTTGTTGTTTTTCAAATGTTCTTCAATAAAAGATTTCCGGTTATGAATATGATATGGTTTAAACTATTTAAAGGTACCATAAAGCTAGTAGGTTATCGTCAAAAGGTTTTATGAGTCTGAGGGGCTTGTCTTCAATAGGCTATTGATCCATTTACCAAATAAGGTGCATTTATCGATGAGAAAAAGTGAAAATTTATCCTTCTAGTGCTTCAATATTCTTTCACTCTAAAAATTGCGCCGGATTCAGTTCTTTAGGCCTAGTGTCGCTCTCAAATGACCCTTACAATAAACCATAATTATAGAGATGATTCATCATTGGTGGTGCGAACAACTGGAGTTTTGTGTCACCTAAGGAAGAGGGAGGGAGGGGAGTATATTTATTTATTTGCATTATTTGTTAAAATAATGTTATTCTGTAAAAAGCCTCTTTCTCATCTCCAATGAAATCTGTTTTGAAGAGTATAAGTAAGTACCGACTTATTTTCTAAAAGCAGCTCTCAAGTCAATTAAAGAAAGTGCCTTCAGTGCTCATCTTGAGTAGAGGGTTAGAATCATGAGATCGTTTTGGTGATAACTCGAGAATCTGCAATCCTCTTTATTAGCCAGATTTAACAATTGCGAGTGGCCCCTCCAGTCAGTGAGCATGCATCAGTAGGCATTCAATCCGCGATCTTTTACTGCACTTGCGAAGCCGCTCATCTTCGCATCATTGGCACAGACCCACTGGTATAATTATTGCTGACACTGGGATATTAAAATTATACTAATTGCTTAAGTTTCTCAGACCCAGCTAGAACAAACCTTACTTGGTCTTTTTAATAATCAAGATAAAACTGCTTGTGTCGATTTCAATATAGGATTCAGGTGGCTACTTATTGGTCTAGTAACGTGGAAGTGTCGAGATTTCATCATGACACATATCATAATGTAAACGGAAATAAAAAATCCATCACCCTAAAAGCGAAGTTTTGTTCAGGTCACCTAAAATATCAGTTATAAATAGGGTAATGGGCTGATTGATTGGGATATCTAAAAAGTAATAAATCAGTTAAAATTTCTGATTTAATGTTACTTTCAAGGTTATTACTACAAATAACAAAATAATTTATATTCCAAACCCAATTGGATATTTATTTATTTATATCAAATGGCAGGCTTTATGATAGTTATCATTAGCCCTTTAGTTGACTTCAGGCTTCACCGAGGGAGAGGAACATCAAATCGAAAAAAGTCCAGAGGGGAGGGGGGTGAACGGAAGAGTGTTTTAAAAATGTAAAAGAGACAGACACAAAGGTAGATGAAAGGTGAGGTGAGTACTGTGAAAGCGGTCGAATAAGACATACAATGGGGTCATGGTAGTTTGAAGTCAGAAGTCAACTGTCAGTTTATAGAATTTTTTTGCCGCATGAGTATACGTTGCCCAGGGTGCACCACGTGGAGGTAAGTCTATCGCACACCCCACCAATTGGATGTTAGATGAGCTTTCTAAGTCTGTCAAGAAAATCGCTTATGTGTGTGCTTAGATAACGCTTATTTGTATCGCAGGTATGCTGACTTCGTTAATGAAGAAGTACTGCCACACAGTTTTTAAAATTAAAATTGAATGCAATCCAAATGGTGTAACTCGTATACTAATGTCAAGCTAATACATAAATTTAATTGGTTTGTGAAGGTTTTAATCTATACGCCATTATCCCCATTGCCAGGAAGTTAAGTGAGCCCTATTTCGTAATTGTTCAAAAGCTTAATTTAGTACAATTCGGTTCGTTCTGATTTAGTTCGAAAATGGTGCCAATCAGTCTATAATCGATTGACAGATGCATATTACTCTGCTGGGTTTTAATTTAAATAAGAAATAAAGTTCGTACATGTAAAACTCTGCTCTCAATACAATATCACTTAATGCTGATTGAAGTTATTCCGTGACTTCATTTGCTCAGGTCCATTAGGAAGTCAGAAAACTTGTAACTTGCTGATAATTTAATTAGAAAGAAGACAGAACGGCTTATGTAGCCTTGAATATGGTGCCTGAGTGGCTACATTGTTGACCAGCGACATAGCAGATGTGAAACTTTGCTCCCAGGTATAAACAAGGAAGTGTAGTGATAGTAGAACTATGTTCAAATGACTATATGATTTATCTTCAGGTCATTGGATCCTAGTTTCTCTCAGTTTCCTCTAAACCACTAACAAATATTGGCAGAGCAAATGGGAAAATGCACTCTGAGCTGATTAAACGGTTGTTATCACGAATTGATGCAAACTAACATGTTTTCAGTAAGCAGAGCTCACAATGCTAAAAAAAGCTGCCAGCACTATTGAGTATGTCAAAGCTAACAAGATCCCCTCAGCAATCCCCTATGTAACTTACGTCCTCTGTCTCAATGCCCACTTTTTGAGTTCTTTTGAAGTAGCCATTTGGAACTCATTTCGTGTTTATTGATCTTAAAAAAACGTTGTTTTAACAGATTTATTGCCAGTCTTCCTGTTTGTATGAGTTCTGTTCTTAGTAGCTTTTCTAATACCAAATAATAATAGTAAGAATATCAAATGGAACTAAATAACAAGACTTAACAAAAAAAAGGTGCAATTGGCATATGGAAGGGAGAAAATTGAACAAAATAGGAGCTCGGTTAAACATAAACAGGTATTAATTTTCACCAGCTCTGGAGGAATAAAGTTTAATTTATTAATAATATTCGATTGCGAGATAAGAAAATTATTGACGTCAAAATCATCTCAAGATCACACCAACTGCACTTTCAATCGATTTTTTACAGTAAGACTCAGCTATGCTTTTGAGAGTTCAAAATCTGCTTCTAAAGCTATGGTATACCATCCACTAGAGGTAGATATTAAACTGATAACCAGTTGCTAACTAAATAAAATCTTCATATGGGTGCATAAGTTGTCCTCACAGTGTTGATATTTGAATATCAAAGCCACCAGATGACTGACAAGTTGACAGAAGCGCTGTGACAGCGTATTAATGGGAGCGATGGGCGACAAAATGTTGGGGATGCCTATCCAGAGGCAATGTAACAATTCTGCAACTTTGTTCTGTCGATAGCTTTTCAACTTGCACATACTTTCTGTGAATTTAATGAAATTTAAGTTATCTCTAAATCTCATCTAAATAAAAAAAGCCAACAATAACTTACAGACTAGTTGCATAATCACCAACGCAGACTAAAAGGCGAAGTAGGGCCGAGTTCAAAATCTTCGATTGCTAAGATAAATGAGAGTATTTTAGCCATGAAGATGAAGATCTAAGCTTGATAAAATTTCAAATGAATATTTCCTCGTACTTTCAAACAAGAGACGTTGCTTTTAACTTTATTTGGGGGATTACAGTTGGATGCAAAACCAACTTTCCACGAGACCACCCTTAGCCTCTCTCAAGAATGCAACAGCAAACAAGGAGAGCTGTTTACTTTTCACTTCATAGCCACTAAATAGAATTTACAACACTGATAGACTACTGGAACAATCGATGCTCAATTGCAGGTGCACTCATAAAATGAAGGTTTTGAACTAAATTGGACAATATTTGCCCCATCAAATTCAAAATTCTTGTACATTTTCCAAAGTTCTATTTATAGGAATATGAGACATTTGTCACATCCCCACCCCCAACCGACATCTAAAGAAATATAACTGTATTTAATCATAAAAATTTCAATTGTTTTAATAAAAATAAAACAAAAAAGGTTCCCACGAGCGAGAGAGAGCAATGAAAGTAATGTACACCTGCATACAACGCAGGTAGCCAGTTCGCCAAATTCAGACACACACCAAGAGTAGATCGATATAGAGAGATGTACACAAGTTATCCAGATGGGCTTTTGTTTACTTGCTGTTTGTTGAAAGAATCATCATTCTGGGAGTTAAGACAATAAGAAAAAAAGAGAGGGAAGTTGTTGTTGTGCTCTAGAACAGAGGTGAGGCCCGCGATAAAGGAGAGGTACACATGCGATCAGGTTAATAGGGAGAAGACGGAGGAACTTATGTGGCGCCACTTTATTGGTGTTGTTGGAAGACCTTAACAAGGTCACAGACACGGGAGTGTCGATTTGTATTATCCTCTCCAATTGAACTCAGAATTCGCGCCTAAAAGAAAAAAATACAATTTTAAACAGGGAAAAAGTGAGAAAGCCAATAAAACAAAAAAACGAAACATGCACCACATGCACTTTGAGAACCAACAAAAAGGGTTAGGAGTGGTGAAAACAAGAACAAAAAAACATAAGAATCACAACATCGGGTGAGAAAATAAGGCAACAATACAGCAAGAGATAAAGGGATAAGAGACGATTGTATTACCCCATCACTAGGCGGATTTTGGCGGTCTGAGGATGCTCGTAAACGAACACCCAAAATACCTTCGACTTGGGGCACCTCTTTCGGTTTTTCAGCAATAGAGGCAATCACCCTAGGAGGTGAGCCTACAGATGGCGACCATGATTCATTCTCTCCACTATTCTCTCTCTCCTCGGTCTCTTCTTCAACCTTAGAAGGTACCGTTAGAGGGGAATTCTCTTCCCTGACTCCAGAATTAATCCGTTTAGATGGGCATTGAGGTGAGAATCCAACAGGAGAGGATATGCCTAGATTAAATTGTCGCTGTGCGAGGAGCTTGTCATCCGACTCCCCCAAACTTCGAATTCTGACACCTCTGGAAAACCGCATTTCAGAAGGGGAGAGCATAGGAGAGTGGGAGGGAGGTTCTTTACCTGCTGAGCCTCCTTTTTCTCCTTCTTCTTGATTTCGTGGAGATGAGGACAGTGAAGAAAAACTGTAAGGCCGGCTACTGATAACTACCTCTGCATTGTCTCGATGAGATTTCGCCACAGTGCTAAACAAATCAGGGGGGTAAGAAAGCGATAGAGGGAAAGCATATCAAAGGTAGTCAAGTAGAAAGCGGGGTCTAATACTCTTAAGATTTAGAAAGAGATGTAGTTCTACACCTTCCTTATTCTCGGTAAATCTATAGAGGTATTTTAAACGAATTTTGCAATCTTATTAACTTTCAAGCTAATTAAAAGCAAACGACTGAGAAAGAATGAAGAGAAAGCCGTTAGCTACTAGATAAAGTATTAGAAGTAGGCAAGGAATAAAAGCGTATGGGGCTAATAATTCTAAAACTAGTACTGGTTTAATTATTGAAAAAATAGACAGATGCTAAAACCAATATTGTCAGGGCGATTCCTGTACCTATCTAGCATCGTTAAGAGGACGTACTTTGTAGTGATAATCTTGAACAGAGAGGTAACAATCTGAATTAGCGATAGCGAGAAACCCACATTCTACCAAGAGTCCTCTGCCCCCCCCCCCCGTTTTGACGACGTGGTTTGTCTACATTTTCGCATGGTCTCTAGCTACACAAAGGAACAACAACCGGAATGCAACTTAACGATAAAGACTGTATACATATTAGTGATTCACTAGGCATTAATGAAAGGGCGTGTTAACAGGGGTCACAACGTTAGTGGGCGTATCCTTTAAATTGCCATAGTGATTAAATAACTACCAGAAAAAGACCAATTATGTGAGAATAAAAAGGTAGGTATCTGTCACATTAAAACGCAGAGAATATAGTACAGATGCCTAGTACATGAAGCGTTAAAGAGCCCTATAGCCTAGTCTGTCTTAGCCAATCATATTTAGTCATGTTAATAATTTAATTGATACTAATTAAACTCTTCTCAATATACATGCATGAAATAATTCACTTAGAACAGAGTGTGATAAATAAAATTCACACATGCAAGAAAAAGAAAGGCATTATTGGAGGGCTTGAAAGAAAATACTCATTCTGCATTACGTGCTACGTGCTGTTGTTCAAGTAGCAATCAATAAACACTTGAACCATTCTCTCGTTCAACTCACTTGGTTCGACCATTTAAGGCCTCTCGATCTTCTTCCTCCCTCGATTTTTCTTCACGGAAGACGTTTTCATCAGAATTAGCGGCTAATTTAGAGCCAAAGAATTCATTAGCGTCACAATCAGATGTAGGTGTCTTAGGAGATTGGGTTTTTGGTGAATATGGTATCACCGTCGTCTCTTCTTTTGCTTCCAAAGACGTTCTTGAGGATCTAGGTAATATTTTAGGTTTAGGAAAGATCAGGGGTGAGTGTTGGGGACTGGATTGGGTATAACTCTGTCCAATCGATGAGTCCGCAGTATCTACTTCAGAGATACGATGAAGAGGGGTTGATGCAACTGCTGCTGTTACTGGTGAGCCAGCGCTTGGTTGCTTAGTTCGACTTCTGTGTTTGCGCTGACGATTGAGATTGATTCGTAGCATGGCGCCTTCCATGTAGGAGTCCTTAGTTCCATCATTTTCGCCTGCTGAACCGCTGAGGTTTGCCTCTCGTGAACCATACCTAGTGTAGCAAATAAAAAGCCCCAAATTAATTGAATTAGACACAAGTGTCAATAAGTCGTATTATACTAAGTAGAACACTGATCTGAAAAAGGTACTGCCATGAAAGACTTTTGGGTCATACTAAAAGTGTGACTAATTCACCATTTGGAATAAGTCTACCGGAAAGGAGGATTAAATAACAGTTCCTTACGTGAGAAATTACCTATAAAAGACTGAGACAACTTTAATTGATAATATGGGCTCTAATTTAGAGTGCTTCAGAGTTTGTGATTACCTCCATCGCCAAACAACTCCAAAATAAATTGTAAGAAGTCCATAGTTAGAATATACTTGCGCATGCTTATATCAATGCAGACAGAGAAACTGCCAACAATATTATGGAATACGTTAAATTCGAATTGATCTAAACTACTATTGGTCTCAAAAGTGTAAAAAATCAAAGAACTTAAATAGGTGCACAACTGTTCGAAATTGAGACAAATAAATTATCGAAATTAAGAGCGAGATTAATGAAATTGACAAAAAACGAGATCTTTCAGAAACGCGCTTTAGAATAGTCTTCCTTTGGCACGATTTTAAACTGGATTCTCTATTAAGGTGAGATTTCACACATACAAAGTCAATATGAATATACAAGACCCAGCCAAATGGTGACGCAGATTATGGAGAAGGCCAGTGCTTTTCAATCATGTGTAGGAGGTTGAAGTGTTTCCAGATGTACAAAATAGTGAAAATGACACATGTATTTGCGCACCCAATCAGCTATCATTTTAGGTAACAAAATTCATGTCACATACTGAAATGAGTACTTGAGCGTGAGCTCCATAATATTAAGAAAACTCAATATTATCTAAATCCGTGAAGCTAAACTTGCTATAAAAGAAACTGAGAACAAATGAAAAGGTTCGGGGGAGGGGATCAACTAGTGCTCGAGATGGGATTGGTGGGACTTGATAGGGGGGTATCTATATACCACGAAGTCCTTTTACCCTCCACGCGACCTTGCTAATTGTCATTAGTTTTAAATAAGCCGTCACTTCGTTAAGTGAATTCTCATAAAAAGGAGATGAAAAATGCAGAAGCCGGGGAGTTAATGGCATGAGACTAGAAGAATTATCCAATTTTGGTGACTTATTCATTAAATCGAGCCAGTAAGGTCCAACTCTTAATTGACAGAAATATCTTAAAATACGAGATTTGTAAACCACACTTCCCTTTGAAGTAGAATGAGAGAAGAGAGAGAGTCTCATGCCTGTCAAGAGAAAGCACTTCCAATTGGCTAGTTGAGAAGGCATGCAATGCTAGAAAAAGGGGAAAACATAGCTTGCCTAACACGAGTTTTCACTGAACTCCTAGTCTGATATTTCTGCAATAGTAAGCGAACCGAAATAGGGGAACTTGATGATTGTAGGTTAACAAAATATGACCGCACTTCGCACAAGTCAGTTGGTGCATACCCGTGAGAGTAGACATGGGTGGTTATGCATATCCCGTTGAATCAATCAATTCACTTTTAATAAGAAGCCTAAACCATCAAATAAAGAGGCGATTCAAGGACCTTGGTTCTATTGGCGCATCAACATTTCGGACTTAGGCGAAAAGTTATCAAAAAAGGCACGAGTTCACTGTTCGTGTTCTCGTGTTTCTTCTTGTAAAAGATTGGAACTGCAGTGAAACCAGGGGAAAAACATGAGAAATATGGATGAATGGAATCAAGAAAAGAGATCAACTGAAGTCACACGTAGTGGAAACTGAATCAGCGCCAGCTTCAACCCCGCTCTATCTCCTGTTGGACAATCAAATATTTGAAATGAAAAAAATTCGCAACATCAGATGCCATGCTCAAAAAGGACTCATCGAAAGCTCAGAAAATACAAATGAACTACAAGTTGAGGTTATACGAGGAGGAATCAGATTAAAATGAGGGAGGGAGGGGGGTGGGGTGCCAAGGTAAGGTGGGAGTAGAAAATTTAATTTCATATAAACCCTTTTTTTAATACTGTAAGTAAAGCTTTTATCACAAAACTGTTTATTCAAAAATACGAATACCCAAGTACGTGGCATTTTTGTGTGAGATAATAAACATAGTGGCGAATTCGAAAAATGTATCATTTTACTGTTTATTTCTACTACTATTTTTTGGACACTTTGAGATTGTTCCCTGGAATTATTTAAAAATGCCACATATACTTATGCACCATTGCTTGTGCCGAGCACTCGCTAAGTATGGAGTCTCAAATCGATGATCACTTGTTTAATTGTCTACACAGAACGAGTGAGATTAAATACACAAAGAGAACATAATCAATTGTAAATTCAGCACCCACACTCACACACGAATTGCCTTAAGTACTGCCAAAATAAAGTCGACGGTACTATAAAAACAAACTTTGAACATACTTTAACTTCCATCGCACTTGTCACATAGAATGGATGGAAAAATCCAGATAGAAAATGCACTTGAAAAACACACATGATATGAAAGCAAATAAGACCAAGGTGTCACTACTCTCCTTCAATGAGTGATTTCCGCTTTAAGCCTCAGTGGAGAAGTATAACTTAAGAGGTCCAGAGTTGATACGTTATTGGAACGCAAAGAGCTGAAGTTTGGAGGAAGAACAAACTATGCAAGGCTTCAATTTCGAAATTGTTGATTTGATCAAATAAATGAACCGCTTTAACAACCTCAACACCCTTAAAACAACACCCCACAACAAATGCTTGATTCCGTTTCATAACACCAAAAAAAAGATCAGAAATTAATAAGATACTCACCCAGAAGTAGATGGTGATCCGGGTGAGAGGGAGGCGGGAGTTGTGTCGCCAGAAGCCACGGCACTGTGGTTAACGGTGGCAGGGGGCGCGACAACTCCCAATCGAGGTGGGCCACCTAATCCTCCAAAGGGGAATCCTGGGCCTGCAGACAACTTGGCCGCCAATTCATCCTGTGAGAGGGGGCAGAGGGGAAAGGCGTTAAGTAAAGGACTATTTCGACATGCGAAGAACTCGATTGGTAGATTTAAAATTGGCAAATCCTAAACTCCATCAAAAGAAACTTCACTTTTTCTCTACTGGGGTGTGCGATAGACTAACCTTCACGTGGTGCACCCTGGGCAACGTATACTCATACGGCAAAAAAGTCTATTAACTGGCTATTGACTTCTGACTTTAAACTACCCCCACCCCATTGTATGTCATATTTCACCACTTCCACAGTACTCACCTCGCCTTTTTTCTACCTTGGTGTCTGCCTCTTTTATATCTTTGAAACACTCTTCTGTCCCCCCCCCCCGCCTTCAATCTCGACTTTTTCAATTTGATGTTCCTTCTCCTCTCTGTGAAGCCTGAAGTCAACTAAAGGGCTAGTGATAACTATCAAAACGCCTGCCATTTGATATAAATAAATAAATACTTTTTCTCTACTTTTGCAATATCCGAAAAAACAATTTTTCAAGCTACTAAACATCGATTGCAGGTAAAAGATGAATAATCAAGACAAACTAAACGAGCAAATAACCAATGAAGTTTGTCTCAATCGTTGAAGTGGTGTCTCAAAGAACAATGAAATTCCAAGAGAATTAAAGCATTGGGAAAAAGAGACAATTTCTCGTTCGATGAAATAAGGTAAGTTTAAAAGTTCCATTTTCGAATTAAAAAAAAGACAAATGCAAGTGAACTCCTACAAATAAAGACCAATACCATTTGAGAGAAAGAGGATTAACCAATTTCGAAAAAACCAATGGATATGTCGCAAAATGAAGAGAATGTATCGAAATGAGTTTTCTACTTGAGCTGAGCAATAAACAGAGAGATAGACGCAGAAAGATACTTCTCTTTCAAATTGTCAGACTCAGATGAAAAAGGGACGTAAGATGGCGGACGAGAAGGAAATCTTCAATGATATCAATCAATCATGGTTGTAGACTGAATATATAATATCGACTTGCTCAAGTTGTGAAACCAAGGCCATGAAAAACACAATTGAAGTGCAGGAAAATGTTTCAATATTCAATAGATCACCACACTTCAAAAGTAACGAATTTTATTGTCAACGAACGTCCCAATTACAGAAAACTTCAAACCTAATGTAAATGTGCTGTTAGCAACTTCTTTCTTGGTGGACTAAAGTACACTTTAACGTACTTTGTGAGAAAATGCTATATAAAACTACTGCCACTCCAAAAACGGCAAAGTAACAAAACATGTCGATCTTGAGACCCAAAAGAAACATCAATGTCAAATCTCATTTCAAGTGCAATACCTTTAAACTACAATTCTAGTAATTCACCTATTTTTAATCAAAAACCAAATTGTTAACACACCTGTTACCGTGGCTTCAGAGATCGCATGATCATTGTGAAAGAAAGTAAACATAAATGAAAGTTCACATACCTATGGCGCTTACTTCAAAAACTGTAGCCTCTAATCTATAGCAACAGGCATTGATGCAGACAATAATAACTTGGTGGATTTAACCAAAAGTGAGAATATTATAATAAAACGAAAACAGGTGACGCTATTATTTCCAAGAGTCATCATTTCTGACTTAAGTTGCGAAAAAAAAGTGAACAAGGAAAAGTGCGCGTTATTATTGGAAATAATATCGTATTGTGAAAACAAGAGCAATCAGATTCGTCGACCATACACGAAGGCATCAGAAAAATCAAAATGGCGCATTTCATCTAGAAATAAAACCATACCAGAAGTAGGAACAAGCAGGTAACTAAGACCTTTGAAATAAAAAAAAAGAAGAAAAATCATTCAAAGCACTGCTCAAATTGAGATTTTTTCGTTTAGCCAACCTCAGATTTAAATATAAGAAAAACATATCTCTACCTCAGAGTTCTACTTGCTATTAGCTTAACACAGGTAAATAAAACCCACTTTAATAACTCGACTGGAGAGGTGGCGAGAAGGGGCCATCAACGACCTATGGAGTCCACTCTTTATTCAATCCTAAAACCGGCAAAGTGAGCCAATTGCCCAATGAATAGGAAAATAAAAACTCGGCAAATTTTGAAAAAAAAACTCTAAGTCTGACAATTACACTGGAAATATCGGCCAAAATTATCCTTTTGAAAGAGCGGTCCATGTTACTGATGAATGTCTTGCATAACAGTTTTCAATAATAGGCATTTTCTTCCTTAATTGCATAAAAATTAGGGGAAGGTTGGAGGTATGCTAGGCTAAACGGATAAAATACGAGGCAATATATATGTAATCGTGAAATAGACAATAACCTAACAGTAAATTTCACTAACTTATACATTTGCAAATTGATTTAATTTGCGAGGATAATGTTCAATATACGATAGCCAACAAAGCAAAATGAGAATTGCAACACTTGCATATCACATTATTTAACTAAACTATGCTAACTGTAGGCATGGAAGATAAAAATGAAAGCAATTAAAGGGGAAATACGAGGTAGAGTTTACCTTGAAGTTACTATTCATGGGCTTCCAAGAACCGAGAGATTGAAAATTTACCAGTGTATTTTTGAATTAGCCACGCACGAGAAAGAACCTGGTGGCACGAAAACTACAGCTACTATGCGGCGATGAAACACACGCGTAGGCCTATCACCCACTACTACATCGTGTGTAAGCGAATTGAGAAAGAGCGCGCAAAACCTTGTGAAAGGCGGCTATTGGTCTAAACAGTGATATGCACTCATGACGCACACACACACACACACATGCCCCATCACTTACCAAGCGATCAGATTTGCAAATTGGTGGTGCGTAAGTGGAATACAGAAACGTGAGTGGACAAACTCACACGTGAGTTGAGTAAACTAATGAACGACGAGCAGGTGCGTGTGTATGCATAAGGCTGATTGGCGACATATGCACACAAAAATGCTTACTTATATCAACTACTGTCCTTATGAAATGAACTCAATTTTAACCGGAACAGGAAAGCAGTTGCTGCTTTGGCCTTTGATGCCCAGGGCTCCTCATTTATTCATTGAAAGGTTGGATATTGAAAACCTATTGAGGTATCTATTCAATAGAAATAGCTGAATATGAACTTCTTAGTACAAGACAATTTAGACGCTGTCCGTTGAAGGGAAATGTCGACTGAAGGCCATATTGAGCAAAGGGAATAGAATCCTGGAGCCTCTGCTTGGCAAATTCTCATTCTACCAATCTCTCAGCTTGCATTAAGGCTTAGGAATTAAATTAACTGGGCATGCGCGGAGTGTATTAAATCCGTAATCACTGACTTGGCAGACGTCACCGTTGAACAAGTTAGAGATTTTTATAGTTTATTAATTGAAATAATAGTGCTATATTAGCTTCAAATGGTGAAAACGCTTTAATAGAAGAGTGCAAATTGAAAATTTCACATTTATGTTCAAGGGTTCAAAGGTCGAAGCCTGTTCAAGGTCAAGGAAGCAATTGAATATGATGCAAAATTCGCACAAATAGTCTTGGCGTTAAACAGAACTAAACATCGCACAAAAGTTGGCGTTTTGACAAAGTGACTAGGTAGCAACAATTTATGAATACGAATTTCCTACTAACAATAGTAAGTAGAAAATACACAATTGGCATGCCAGCAACCCAGAACACCAGCACAATGTTTATGTCTGGTGGATAGTAAACAACAAACCGTCGTATATGGAAGCGACCGAGGGTGGTGCCCTTATTATCGACTAATTTCAAGCCGCCTTGGGTTCGTCCTAACCTTTACCATAGTTCTGGCTAAGAAAATAGGACGATTATCATTGAATGAATAGATCTTTCCAAGTCCCACGCTAACAATAAAAGCAATGCAGGGAGAGGTTTAAATAAATGCCTAGTCCGCAAAGTCCCCATAACCAACATTTGGTTAATTGAAGGACAATTACTGCTATCGCTATCATTTTGCTCGTGGTTATCCAAGGTTACGTGTAATTTGCAATAAAAATAGACATCTGAGCATGTGAAGTGACAAAGTAGTCAAATGAGGTGTGAAGGAAAGATTGGATGGAGGTAGAATAAGAAACAAGTACCTATGGGCTTTGAAATCTACATTCAGCATGCTGTCCCCTGTTTATTTAATAAGTAGAGTTAGTTGTGCTATGGAAACGTTTCAAAGTTCACATTTAGCTTCTGTCCACAATTATCAGAGCTTATTGATCATAGAAGAACTTGAGGGTACGGTCGTGTCATTTAGATATGGATATCCATTCTAATGTTTGGGGGGGGGGGGGGGGGGGCGGATTATTCACATTATTATCGAGTAGCTTTCATATACATATGTCTCCTGTTGGCAATAGGGCTCAATATCAGCAAGAGGATTTTCGGATATATACATATATCAGGGGAGGAATGGGTACTTTGTGGACCTGACCGCCCGATGAACTTGCACTTTACCCCCAACTAACGCTATAGTTACACCGTCAGCATTAAGCATAAACTTTTTAAAACCTTCCTATAACTGAATAGTGAAAATATATACCACCATCCATACCCCATATTACATCATAGGTTATCCATAAAAGTTTTAGCCTTTATGAATTTGTAGCGAATAGTAAAAGCCTTAAAATGGCACCAATCGAGGCATCATTTACGGAATGCATTTAATGATCAATGGCCTGTTAGATGTCGTAAGTGTATGTCGATCAATTTTAAGAAAGCTGATTAGATGAGTGGGAAAAAACTGCGTCACAAGTAATTCGTGACCTAAAAATAATACTTAATCGAAGTGCATGCACACCCAGTGAATAAAATGACAAACAATGATAAATAAATGAATCGTAGAGAGGGAGGGAGAGAGAGAGAGAGGGGAAAACAATGTGAATTTTTCAGAGTGAAACTCGGGACAATGTTTACGGTTATGGAAGGTACTACCAGACATGTCTGACAAGGCTTTATTGAAATGAAGCTCAGAGAAATATAAAGAGATGCGTAGAGATAGGATGCCTGTATTGATTTATTTGTATTTACACAAACTCATCATTTCCACCAGTCGTGCTTAAGAGCCTGATTGAAGCATGAGAGGATTCGAGGTAACACCACAAAAAAATAGATGATTAAGTGGTAGTTAACTGGAGGCCAATAGATGCACGTAAGTGATTCTTTAACCCGTTATACTATCGACGTGGCAAACGACCACACGCTATTGTTAAGCCTTCAGTGGGGAGCACTGTTTGGCCGTAAGGGTAAACAAAGACTCACTCGAAATCGGTTCGCCGTAACAGGCACAGGAGGTGAAGATTCAGTCAAATTTCCAACAGAATTGGCATGATTAACAGTCTGGCCGTCCGCACCATTTTCTCTAAAATAAGCCAAGTAGACAGCAATTCAAAAACGAGGTTGTGCATTTTTATGGCAATAAGCGAAAGGTTATCTAAAGCGAATAAACGAAAAGAAAAAAATTTGGATCCGTTTTTTTGGGGGGGGGG